CTCCTCCTCCATGCTTCACTGTGGGAACCGTGCATATAGAGAATATCTGTTCACCTTTTCTGTGTCACACAAAGACACGGCGAGTGGAACCAAAGATCTCAAATTTGGACTCATCAGACCAAAGCACAGATTTCCACTGGTCTAATGTCCATTCCTTGTGTTTCTGGGCCCAAACAAATCTCTTCTGCTTGTTGCATTTCCTTAGTAGTGGTTTCTTAGCAGCTATTTGACTCTAAAGGCCTGATTCGTGCAGTCTCCTCTGAAGACTGGATGTAGAGATGAGTCTGCTCCTGGAACTCTGTGTGGCATTTATCTGGGCTCTAACCTGAGGTGCTGTTAACTTGTGATTTCTGAGGCTGGCGACTCAGATGAATTTATCCTCAGCAGCAGGGGTGACTCTTGGTCTTTCTTTTCCTGGAGTGGTCCACATGTGAGCCAGTTTTGTCGTACAGCTTAATGGTTTTTGTGACTGCACTTGGGGACACATTCAAAGTTTTAGCAATTTTCCAGACTGACTGACCTTCAGTTCTTCAAGTAATGATGGGCTGTCATTTCTCTTTACTTTGCTGATTGGTTCTTGTCATAATATGAATTCTAACAGTTGTCAAATAAGCCTGTCAGCTGACTTCTGCACAACACAACTGATGACCCCAACCCCATTAAGAAGGCAAGAAATTCCACAGATGAACCCTGACAAGACACCTGTGTCGTGAAAACCATTTCAGGTGACTACATCACGAAGCTTATTGAGAAAAGGGAAGGGTTTGTAGTGCTGTCAACAAAGCAGGGGGTGGCTACTTTCAGGAATCTAAAATATAAAACATATTTAGAGTTATTTATCAATGTTTTCTTTGCTGCATAATTCCATATATCTTGCTTCATATATTTGATGTCTTCTGTTTGTATCTACAATGTAGAAAGTAGTAAAAATAAAGACAAAACATTGAACGAGAAACCTTTGACTGGTAGTGTATAATAAAGCCAAGACACACTATTACAAAAAGTATTCACTCACCCATCCAAATTATTTAATTCAGGTTTTCCAATCACTTCCATGGCCACAGCTATATATAATCAACCACCTAGTCATGCAGATGGTCCCACTCCTCTTCATTCCAGAAGATTTGGCATGCAGTCTTTCTCCAAAGAATTTCAAATTCCAATTAATCTGACCTTAGAAAAGTTTTCCACTATGTGTTCGTCCATTGATTTCATGACAGAATTGTGCCTGTTTTTAAAGCCTAAGGCTTTAACAACGGCGCGAAATGTACACATTAAATTCAAAATGCCTGATTACCTGTTGGATTTAGGATATGAGTCCAAGAGACTTTTTTGTGCATTTTAAGATATTACAGAAGGCTGCCAAATTTCAGACTTGGATCAAACATAATACAGGGGCTGCTTTCTAAAAAAAATTTACATAGCACTGTGGAGTCAGTTTGCAACATTTATTGAAGAGAGCTATGGAACTGGAAAGAATGCATCAGCTGTTCCGATACTCCTGACACATACGGGATCACTAAGGGTTTTCGCCGAGGCGGCAGTTGTCCTTCTCTCCTGGCTCAGCTGGAGCTTTCTTTAGGTGCATTCCCAGCCAATCCAAATATCCAGCTGGGATAACCATATTAACTCAGGGCCTTCTTCATATGATGTTCTTCTGCTTCTCTGGCCACTGTGTCTGTGGGAATTGTGTTGGATAGATTGTGTTGAGAAAATCCCTAAGAGCAGTTTGCAAAAGCATGGAAATGATAAAATAGCCATTTTCAATTCAAAATGTCTGATTTCCTGTTGCGTTTGGGTAAATAAGGCCATACACATTTTTTTGTCTGTCATTTGCATGTTACACATGTGTAATCTGTAACACTTCATTATAGCTTCATTATGGCTCGGGAGCCATTTTGAATCGTCCATGTGCCAAACCAATAAAATACATAAATTTTCACCAGACCTGACGTATGTGCAAAATTTCATTAGTTTTTGAGCATGTTAAGGTCCTCAAAAGACAATTCACTTACTAAAATAATAAATGAAACAGATGCAATAGGACCTTCATACTTTTATTTCCATGCTAGGGACCTGATTATCTATGAACTTGAGTTCTCTACATAAAGAGCACATTATTTCCTGACTGAAACAATGGTGCAGTCCAGTATGTAAATCCTAAAACAAATTCCTTTTTCTCACCCTTTCACTTTAACATACTCACTATATTCTGTTCTTTCAGTGTTGTTTCCCTTTTGATTTGACATGCTAGATTCCCTTCCATTTCTCCTTTGATCATGTCCCACTGTGTTTCTGCTCCATCATAATCACCAGGTGCCCCGATTCTGGTAATACTGATGATTTTGCCTGATACTATTGACCTTAAAAGGTGCAACCTGTCTCAATTCCAGGAAGGTCCCATCCAGAGTTTGATGTGTGTGTGTGAGATCCCTACTGCTTTCTCTCTCTCCTCAGGCACTCTTCCCAGCTTTTCTAGGGGAATACCAGAGTGTTCCCAAGCTACCCAAGAGGTATAGTAAACATTCATATACAGATGGTATTAATCACTGAAACATCTCAAACAAATAAAAGTTTCACTTCAAGAATTTTTTTCTTTTTATCTCTTTTTCTCTTTTCTCTCTCTTTTTTTTTCAAAGTTCAAGGCATTAATCCTGCCCCAAACTTCCCAGATATTAATCAGAACAAGCACCTACAGGATGTGGCACAAGACCAAGGCCTCACCCTGCAACACAAAGGATCCACATCTCAGTTACCAATGCACCAAAGCACACTCCAGATGCTGTGTGTCTATGTCTTGATCAGTGTTTACAAAATATTAATACTGGATTTTTTTTTTTCATGTTTTGGCAGTGTACAACCCTGCATATCTACTGTCTAAATTGCCTAGATACCTAGATTGTCTTCCAGATAACTGTAAGAAAATTTGATGTTATTTAATATGTACCTTCTTATTTGTGGTATAATGAGATAGAAGATCAGATTAGTCTTCCTTAAACAGCAATGAAAACCAGAATGATTAGCACACATTAAAGACTAAAACTGTGAAATTGAAACAATGTTTCTTTTCAAGTGGGGCCCAGTGGAGATGATGCTTAGACTCCACGTTGGAAGGAATTCTTACTCTGATACTAATTAAAAAACAAAACAAAATATATTTTAATCCCATCCGTTTATTTTCTTCCCAAGGCACATCTCTGCAAAGCAAACAAATAGCATGCTTTAAAAATTAGTCTAATTGCAGCGCTTCAGTGGATCCTTACAGAGGTCCAATGAGCAAAATAGTACAGCAGCTTACTGAAGAATATTTTGGCTGTAACTGAGCAGAAATAATATATCACACTGGATTTGTATTAATTGACACTAAGAATATGAAAAATGTCCATGACATTAGTAATATCGATTGATGCAGACATCATTATGAATTTTATTTAATACACCGAGATTTTACCAGCAGCTGAGCTATTTAATTATTTGATATTTAATTATTCTAACTGCTGACCAAGGCCAGGAGAATAAGGAGAATGAACCGGACATTTTCTTAAAAAAGAAATATTACCCTATTTAACAAAAGAAGTTTCTTGTCAACATGTTGCTGCACAATACAAACAGGACACATTTATATATGAATTCAGAACAGTGGGATGCAAAGATTTTTAAAGTCGAGTGTATTCTTATCCACATCTGGAAAGGATTTCCAGTTAGATGTTAGACAGGAAAAAGCTGAGAAAACCTTCAAGTCACAAACCTTTACAAAAACTCCTATACTCTAAGTACACATTCACCTTTGCATTAGTGAACAGCAAAAAAACAAACAAAAGGTAATCAATCAACTATTTAATTAAAAATTACTATTAAAAATAAAAACATTTCTGCAAAATAAGTTTTAAAAGCATAATAATATTTTGAACATACCTGACATGGTGAATTTAGTGAGTCAATTTCATATCAAGGTATTATCAGTTTACATGAAATACTTTTTCCTGTAACCTTTTTGTCTGTTTCTGTTCTTTAATATGGACATTTCGTCATTTGAAAGGTCATTTAAAAAGAAAGAGAGAGGCAAGGATGGCTCCTGTATCTGCTGCAGGGCGTATAAACTGCTACCCTGATCTATAAAGAAAAACTGAACCTGTGCTTAAATCAAACCCTGATGCAGCCAAATGAAGAATTATTGTGTAAAAAGATTTTCAGTGTTATTGATCTTCTTTCTTCTTCCTTACGTTATATTCCTTTATTGGTTTGATGGAGACTATTTATAACAGTTTTACAAAATAAAATTATAATAAAAGAAAAATGACATCTACACGGGTTTAAGAGCATGGACAATATGGTGAGCTTTGCAGAACACTGTTGTTACAGGGTAACTTAACAACAGTGCAAACACAGATTCTTATTTGCAAGGGGCATGTCTTTCAATGACTCAGAGGTAAATGTAAATTATAACTGTGACACACTAAGGCTGAAACATCCTTAAAAGTGATCTACTCGTACACTTCTGCTCACTACACTCTTTGTAAATCATATGGGTTGTGACTTTGGACTGTAAACGCCGTTGCAGGTTGTTATTATTTTTATACTTTTAATAAATCGGTACTACTGCTCTGTTAAAATATAATTTGTCAAAATTAAGTGCTTCATAAAATCAGACCTAAAAGCAGTGAAAGCAACAAAGATGCATTTTTTCATGAAATTAAAAAAAATGACAACAAATCCTGAAAAACTGGCAAGTAGATTTTTTTAATTGACCGCCTGTACATGAAGCTCATGCAATAAGCAGTCACAGTCGCATATCAGATTAGAACAGAAAAATACAGCAATTCAATGCCTAGTCTCTGAGGGCAACAAAGAAAAATCAGATGATAGCATTATGTGATATTATTGAATTTCATAATGCGTTCTGTTCGTGACCTGCCCATGCTGTGTGCAGGAGGGGCTGCTGACGTGAAAAGAGAGCAGGAGGGTTGGGCTGAAATCACAATAAAAGGTGGCTGGAGTCCGCTTTTCATCCAGTACTCCACACGCCAGGCAACTTCTGCTGCTGACTGCAACGTGAACCAGACTGAAGGAAGTCACATCAAAGGTAAGTTACAGTTTTTGTAGCCTTTAAAGGCATGCTTTCAAATAGTTTTGTTGTCATGTTAATATTGTGTTTTTTGTCTTTCTTAGATGCAGAGGGGCTTTGGGATATTTTGCATGTCGCTCATCTTTTGTGCAACTCTTTCCGAGACCATCGGGCTAGTTGTTGCGGTAAGCAGTTCAAAATTCAGTACAACGTTAATGTTATCCTCCCACTTAAATTTAGGTGCCAAGAATCAATGTACCAATAAAGACATAAAGACAACAGAGACTAATAGAATAGAAATGTCAAAATGATATCAAATATCATTATAAAGTAATCTATTTTAGTTTCCAACAAAAATTTTAAGCAGCCAATCACAAAAAAAAAATGTGTATATGTGAGTATATTAGTAGTATAAAGTTCAAATACAACAAGAACTAAAATGTTTAAAGTAAAAAAGTTTAAATCTTCAAGTGAATAAAGACAAAACAAGCTAAAATCACAGATTCACAATGAAACCGTACAGACCATGACCAAACCCAAGAGCTCAAACTTCCCAATAGCAGACGCTACAACATGCCACACAGAGATGCAGGAGAGGTTAAATTAAAGAAAATTCAAAGAACCAACCCATGATTCCATGATTTCCAAGAGACCCTAAATAAACCCACATTAAGAATCCACATGTAAGAAAACCAAGAAAAAAAAAAAATTCAGAAATTTACTAGGAAAGTAAAATACACAAACTCCCTGCAGGCATATGACAAGCCTACAGACCATGACAATAAGGATGTTTTACATTTAAGAAAAATGCTTTTAGATTTACATTTCAGACACATCAAAAACTCAATAAAACTGTCTCCTCATCCTTTAGCTGCTTATTGTATCCATCTTTATATCTTGCAGGCAAAAGAAAAGCGAGGCTGGACTCTGAACAGCGCTGGCTACTTGTTAGGGCCCCGTAAGTGTATACACACACACACACACACACACACACACACACACACACACACACACACATGCATGCCCAGACACACTCAGAAGCTTACATGCACACACCAGCGCATATTGTTTTGTGGTTGTTCCAGTAACGTTGTTTACAAAAGCCTCATTAATAGTATATGGTGAAATGGCCCAATGCTAATTTATTGTTATTTAAAAATGAGTGACTGTTGGGTATCCAGTTTTGTGTATCAAGGTATATATTCTTACCAGCTGGAGTTTGAGTCATTCCAGGGCAGGAACCCTGAAGAATGTTGTCCCTTTGTGTGTGTGTTTGTGTGTGTGTGTGTGTGTGTGTGTGTGTGTGTGCGTGTGAAGCCCAGGTAAAGGTTGCTCCTGCCTCATCCTGTGTTTCAGGTCGTATTGATCACCTAATTCAGATAAAGGATTCTCCCAGTGCCAGAGGCAGAGACGAGCTGGTCACTCAATGTAAGATAGAAACATACAGCTGCTGCAGGGCCTTGGGGTCACCAGGAATTGCTCTGTTTAAACATCACACCTTTTAGCTGCTTTTGTTTCTTTGCTTATGTATACAAATGTTGCAATTCTGTCTGTGCTTTGAGCCAAGTAACGCATTGATGACCTCAAGAATGAGTTAAGGAAGGAAGCATACAGCATTTTTGAGACTTTGGAGGATTACACTCCAGATGTATCGTGTTGACAGAAAGGGAAGAAAATACGATAGTTTAGAAGACTATCGTCACGTTCACTGCAGAGAAGATGTAGCACTGACTAACCCAGAGTTTTCACTGTGATATCCGAAATAACAGTACAGCTGACAAAGAGCTGATAGCCCAGTAACTTAATTTAGAAATTTTACATTTTATAATATTATCAAAAATATTTTTAAGTCATGCTACCAATTTACTATATTAACAATTTGCTGATATAAAATTGTATGTAAAGATCAAAACACAAGGGGCCTGTAGATCCAATAGGACCTTTTTACACTGGATGGCAAACATCATTAAAATACCTTATTTTTTCATGCCGGGGTCTCACATGTAAAACTTTAGCTAGACTTTTAAAAGCACACAAAGAGAACAGGGTGTATTAGTTCAAGGACTACTTTAGCTAATGACAAAGCCCCCAATTAGGGTCAAACAATTGTCACATGTAAAAACCACTCAGAGTAAATGACAGCACTGAAGTATGTGAGCTCACTATAACAACACGTAACTGGTGAGTAATGTTGCAAAGTGAAACAAACTGGCCTGATACTGTACATGTTTTCCATTCTTCAAATACAAATATGAGCCAATATAATGTATTCAACTCATGTGAGCCTCACATGTTAAACTACAAATCTCAGTCAGGTTGCTGTCTGTTCTTTCATTTCAAAATATCACAATAACATTTTTAATTATTGGTCTAGCTTAAGAACATTATGTAGTACAATAGTACAGTTACCGTTATTATTGGAATTGGGAAGAGTATGATTAGTAATTAAAGCAAATGAAAAAAAGGAAATGCAAATATTTTTAATTTACAATTTTAACCGGAGGCCACTGAACTCTGTGCATGCTATCTCAACCTGCTCTTTAGGCACATAAAAAACAAATTAAAATGTAAATGTGGAGACACACCGACAGTCTACAACACACTACCAGGGCTAAGTAAAACCCTCTGCTTGCCTGTTATTTTATGTTGATTTTCATCATCACTATTGTTTCAGTGCATTTACTTGTCTGTTAAAACTGCCGTTCAACAAGTGTGCTTTTTCTATTCCTTCCATCAAACCTCTACTTACTGCAATTCCATGAGCCAAGCCCTGCAGGTGGTCTGTACGAGTTTGGAAAGTGAACCAAACAATTACAAACCAAATATCATGCTGAAACTGTGTGACGTGTGAACAATGTCCTTTAGAACTTCTTACAGGAATCAGGTAGCGGTGTGCACTGTGTATGTGTGTGTGTCTGTTGTATGATGCCTCTAAACCAGTGGGATATTTGTACGTATTTTCTGTTACATACACAAAACTTTAACCATTTACTCCATATTATTTTTATTTTGTCAACTGTCATTTTCACCTTAAGCAAACAGAAAATTAAATGTCACAGCCAGTATATTAAAAAATGAAGCAGCTGAAAAGGATTATTATTATTGTAAGTACATGAAAATTACACATAAATCACATTTACCAAAATGTTAAAATTGCTGAATTTCTAGTGAACTGAGCTGATAATGGGAATGAATTACTTAAATGCTTAGTTGGGCCATCTGATGTTTGTATGAGCGCATCAACTGTGATCACTCCTCATTATCCAGATGGACTACATGGACACACGACACTAGGAGACAAGCCGGGTCTGGCTGGGAAGAGGGACATAGGCCAGGAGGAGGACTTCAGAACAGGTCTGTATGTCTCACAAAGAAACAGGACAATCTTTCTACCTCTTAAAGAAGATATTTTATTTCGAGTGTTATTTAACAATAATCAAAAGGTATTTTATGATGTATCTTCTTGGTTAATTTAATTTGATATACTGAATGTTTTGCTTTTATTACTGTTTTATGTATAGCTGTCATGTTGATTAGCTACCTTTAATGTATAAGGAACACTGAGGAAGGAGATGGTAGAGGGGGAGACCTAAAATGCCTTGAAGAAAATAGGAACTTGTAGTCATTTAGGTGAAAAAGTCCTTTAAATAGCCCAAAAGAGGAGGAGCCACATATATTTTAAAGGGAAAAAGTGCAATAAAGCCTCAACTTCCTAAACAAAATAATACCCCAGATTATTTATTGATGTATTATTTAATATTTTGTGTCTTTTACAAAAAAAAATGCTAGTTTATAATTTTGGAAACTCTGGAAATGTTTTATGTATTTTATGATCATTTATCTAAAACACTGAATAAAGAAATCTAACAAAAACAAATAACAACAAAAACAAGACAAGCAGTGCTTGTACCGTTTAATCTAAAAATTAAAAAAAATCTTTTAAAGCATACCAAAATAAAAGCTCTCTCCTTTCACCGCGTCATAAAGCTTTTCCATTCATCAAGCCTTTAAATTACTGTTATAGAAATCTTCACTGGTTTTCAGCAGCTAAACATTTCCACTGCGATGGACTAAGGCTGAAAGCAATAATCATAGAGTGTGAGGGCTAGTCAAACTAGGATCATTGGAAGGTGAAATGTTTTACATTTTTGCGTTCTTTTTTTTAAAGAAAGCTTAGGCACATCTACTCTGTATGGAATTCAGTAGCCTTCATGTTTCATTCCCATTAACCTTTGTTCATGAGTTCACAACTGATGCTTTGTTTGGTTCTCTCATGTTTAAATCTAATACTCCTACTTGTATCGTAATCCTTAGTATCTGAGAGAATTTCATTTCTCTGCATGATCTGTGTATATCAGAGTTCCTGCCATTGCAACCTGTCATTCTTGCTGTACCTCCACAGGCGCCCTGAGAATAGCAGATGAAGAAATTATCCACACTGTCATTGACTTCTTGTCATACCTCAAACTTAAAGGTATGCTTCTCACTTATTTGAAAGCGAGGGGAGTTCATGAACAAAATAATACAGGTCTGCATACAGAAGTCACTGCAACGACAAACTCTTAAAAGCAAAAGTTGGATTAGCAAACTTTTTCAGGTCTATATATCGGTCCATTTGTTAAACATGGAAATATTCTTTCAGTGATAGAATCTTCATTTTCTATTGAATTAGCACACAAATTAGCCCATGCACAAAACTAAATGTGAAAATGTAATGTTGCATATTGTGATAATATTGAAAATTGTTTAATCTAATCATACAATAAAACATGCAAGTTTATCATTAGATCAAACCTGGCAGGGATCCTGTATAGCCATGTATACTGATAGTATTATTACCATGTCAGAGACTGTTCAACTGACTGCTAGTGCAGTTTTTCTAATCAGCCAGTTACATTGCAGGAACTCAGTGATGCACAAGTTGGCCTGTTAAATTCTGCATCTACAACATGAAAATGTGAATCCATCCAGCCTTGTGCTAAAGGTTCAGGCTGTATGTCTTGGCAGAATGGTACCAACTGAGCATATTGTTAATGACCATGTCCATCCCTATGTTACCAACAGTGTTCTGATCCTCTAACAGGATAGCGTGCCACAAACTCACCTCAAACTGATTTCTTGAACATGACAATGAGTTCACTGAACTCAAATGCCTCCACAGTCACCAGATCCCTCATGTGATAAAATCATGCCAAAATTTTCTTGTCATGTCCAAAATCTCAGGAGAATATTTCCAGCACCTTGATGAATCTATGCCACAAAGAATTAAGGCAGTTAGCAAGGTGAATCTAATAGAGTGTCTGCTGAGGGCAAACAAACAGAGGTATGATAAAATGAAAAACAACTTTCTGCCTATTATGTCTCAGTATTGATGTTCTGTCTGTACTTGTTTGTGCAACATTACAGAGATGGGAGCCTTGGACAGCCTGCCTCCTTCTGTCACATCAGATGAACTGGCCAATCCCTAAGGCTTTTGCTTCTCTGTTATAATTGTTGTGTTTCAACTCTTCTCTGGACTCCAACTGCCATAAATGTATTGTAGCTCCTAAATGTTACAATATTGTAGCTCCTAGCACACTGGTAGGTTGGTAGATTTGTTCTGGTACCATCTGACTGACTGACCCTCAATATCAGATCTTTCTCCTCTTGTGTAAACAAAATTTTATATCCTCTTAAAGCCAGTAGTTGTGTGCTGACTATAGGTGGATCTACAGAATTGGTACTTTTGTATAAAACAACTCTATATTATCACCAGAATATACTATTATGTGTTTTCAGAGAATGGAGTGAAATAAAATAAATGGCACTAGACTCACTGAATAATTTGAATTTATTTCTTTCTAATAGTCAGTTACACTGTTTATCACTTACATTTTAGCTACAACTAGTTTGTAACAAACACCTTACTGCTTACACCTCTTTGATGTATGTTAAAAAAAATCTAAATTCAGAGTTTTACCTATGTAGTGTCTGCACTGTGTTAAGTGGTGACATGAGGTCGTCTGACACTGACACTGTTAAGGAGGAGCCGGCGGGGCTTCCTGAGAAGGCCCCAGTGTCTCCAATTACTCACGCCAGAGGAGATTTCTTAGTCTCATGACGACTCTCTATGCTCAGCCTTTGACTTGAAAATTGAAGGTCAAATAGTGCGCAATGACGTAGCTCTGACCTACACTCATTTTGTGATGGTTAGAGACAACCTGTAGCAAGTAAGTCTTGACACTCACACAATAAAAGAACACAAAAGTTGTTGGTGCCAAATAACCCTGTGGCACGGCATACAGGATATGACAAAACTCAGGAGTGAATAATGGCCCAGTTACGCCCAGCCAATAATTGACCAGAGGATCTGCATCAGTGGTGTGGTCCTGCCTGGAGCGTCAGCTGGTGAACCAGCCAGGTAATTCAAAAGTGCCTTTGTTCCCACTACTTTTAATTGAGGTCCCGTGGTCTCATTGGGCCATTTAACCAGAGTGCAGCGGGATATCACTTTTAGAGTTGGATGTCTCGAGACCGGTCTTGAGACCACTTTTACGTGGTCTTGGTCTTGTCTTGGTCTCGCTGTCTCGGTCTTGCTGTCTCAGATCGACATAGTGGTCGGGAGATTTGGAGTCAACAGTATCCGTGACACACAATGTAACGTTCAATAATGTGTCATGAGCAAAAGCATCAGCTCTAAGAGCCGTGCTTAGAGAGTGCTTTGTAGTGAGTCAGAAGAGTCGACTCCCGGTGAGCGAGAGCCGGCTCCTCACTTAATTTCCTTTCGCTGCTCAGCTCTCACACAGTGGCTCAGCTATGCTCCATATTGTGGCCAATCACATGCGAGGATATAGGATAATATCATTATGTGAAAAACAGAGAGGCTGAGAGACGCGGCAGTCAAGTGGAGCGTGCGTCTGTCCTCTCAGTAAGCGAGTGAGACAGTAGACAGCAGTGAGGAGGGCTGTGCGAGTGCAAAAACACATAAATATGCCTGACACCCGAAGCAGCATCTGGCTGCAGTTTAAAGACTTTTTTGTCTCGATCTTGGTCTCGTCTCAACTTTGTCTTGGTCTAGACTCAGTCTGAAGCAGTGCTACTGTGCACCATTTCTGCCATGAGTGTGGAGCAGGCACTGTTCCATGATTCAAGTCGGCATCCCATGAAGAGATACTAGCTGACTAGCTTTGAGTTACTGTTCAGCAAGAAGCTGCAAGGGTGTGTTGGACCTGATTAAAGAAAACTGGGAGGAAGGTCCAAGCCCAGCTAAAAAAGAAATTCAGTACATTCTGGACCTGAGAGCAAAGCTACACACATTGTGGAGGTTATCACGACAAAATTACCTACAGGCCCAAGAACTTCAGCAGTGCCTGTACAGCAGAGGGGTAAGGCTCAGATAATTTTCACCAAGAGACAAAGTGCTTGTATTATCCATTCTTCTACCTCAAAGTTACTTGCCAAGTGGCAAGGACCTTTCATGGTCACGCGGCAAGTGGGAGATGTTGACTATGAAATGGTCCTACTCTCCTTAAAGCGTGGGGAAGGCTGAAACCACTTTTCTCGTGAGCCTGGTGAAGGAAAGAGATGAGTTGGGGCTGGAGTTCCTCAATTCCACCATTCCCATCTCCCTCTGTTGTGATGAACATTTCACATGAGCCCAGAGAGTGGATGCTGCTGCATTGCAACATTGTTTTGCAGATGAGTTCTCCCTCCTGCCTGGTAATACCTCGCTCAAAGAGCACCATTTTGAAATGCACCTTGCTATGGTTGTTGCGTTCACAGTCCTGTCAGTTACCTGTTGTTTCGAATGAACTGGTGGAACTGGTAAAGATGTGGGTAATAAAAGAGTTGCACAATGCGTGGTGTAGCCTGTTAGGATTTAAAATGATTAAATGAAGTAGTTTTTTATGATTTTATATACACAACGCAATGTGCTCATAAACGAGTTGGCGCTCTGTGTTTTGACGGTCAAAAATGTCGTTCAGTGGTATTGACTGGACTGAAATATTGAGAATTGACATAGAAGCGCAGAGGGTCTTTTTTGCTGCATGCTTACACATCACACCAGATAATGGTTAGAAGGATATTTTCTGGGCAAAGGGAGTCTGAACAGAATGTCCTGAACTAGATAAATGGAATCAGAAGTAGGTTAATATTAAATAATCAAGGCTGGGCAGGGAGGTGTATTTGTCTCTGTCATTCCAGGAAAAGGAGCAGATACGAGGTCAGACGTGAGCGGAGCAGGGGACTCGAAGGGAGACATCAGGAGCACCACGTTGGTTCCAGAAGAAGATGTTGGGGTATAAAACTGTACGGGCAAATTCAGGGTCGTCTTTTCAGTGAAGACAGATGACTGTGTTCACAGAGAGGTCCAGCACTGTAAACTTGTAATTCCAACTGCTGAAGCAAATTAAATCTTTTTAAACAGGATATTTCTCCTCTACTTCCTTTGAAGAAATTGAACACAACAAGCCCCATAGTTCTTATAGTGAAGATTTCAGGTCTATACAATTCTGTGTTGACTACTGTAAGGTGAATGAGGTCACAGTTTGATGCCCAGTTCCTGCACGGGTGGGCTCTGCTTGTTTTTTCACGACACTGGCAGATTCCCTTGTCTCCCGAGTCCAAGGGAAAAACGGCCTTCTCCTCTCCTCCTCTGTGGTTTATGCCAATTTTTCACACTTA